TGATATCAATCAATAATCACGGAAAGGCAAAAAAAATCTTATCAGAATTTTTTTTTGTGCAAAAAAAAAATTATGAACAATCATCCATTTATTCATTGATAAAAATATATAATTCGATGATAAATCACGAAGTAGTAAAAGAAAACAAAAAACAATTCGAATTTTCGATTTTCACAATTCACAATTCAAAATCAATCAATCAATCGATTGTTGTTGAATTGAGCATGGGAGAGGCAGATGATGAAAAATAATAATGTTACAACATGTATATATATAGAGAGAAGAGTAGCTGTAGGTTTTAAATATTTTTTTGGAACCACGTTCAGTGTTTTTTGTGCCAATTGCACGTGTTTTTTTCGTCGTTGTTGTTGTTCATTTCAATTTTGTTTGTGTGTGTGGTGAATGATCATGGTGAATTTTTTTTTTTCACCATTCGGCAATCATAAAGAATTTCAACCATCAACCAATGAGAATTTTCATTTCGCTTTTTTTTCTGGTAAGTTTTTTTTTCTCATTCATTTGGCTTGATGATGATGTTTGAGGCCGAAAAAAAAAATTTTTGGCATTTTCAATCAGTGTGTGTGTGCGTGTGAATTTCGATTGATCATCATCATCATATGATATAATTCGTGTCCAAAAATGGATGTTTGTTTGTTTTTTTGTGTGTGTGTTTGCATGACCTGACCTCGCTATATGTGGGTTGGTGAACTTTCATCTGAATGTATGAAAAGCAAGAGAGAGAGAGAGAGAGAGGTTACCTAGGCTGAATTTACAATTTCCGATGATGATGATGATGATGATAATAGCAACAACCAAAAAAAAAAATTTACTATGGCAACCAATCACACACAGACAATAAAAAAGAAAGAGGTTAATATTTAACAATCAAAAAAAAAACCGATATCAAATCGATCAATTGATCGATTATCTAAGATTTTACAACAACAACAAAAAAAATTGAATAATGCATGAATGAATTCTGCCATCATCATCATCATTATTATTAAAAAAAATTACCAAATTCAAAATTAAAAACAAAAACAACAACAACAAGTGTCACCATACATGTACACACACACACACACACACACACATTTATTTCAAGGCAAATTAAATTTTCTCTACATCATCATACCTGTACCCATCACTACGTTCTATGGTGTTTTTTTTGATGAAAAAAAATTAAAATGATGGTGATAATTAATTTAAAAAAAAAATCCAAACAAAGCCAAAAACACATCTTGATTGTCTTGACAATGATTATTACGTCTTACCATCATCATTGTAAACACATGAAAAGATGATAAATGACAGAATTTTGTTTGTAAAGAGGTAGTCAAATTCAAATTTGATAATTATAATGATGGAAAAATGAGAGAAAAAAAATGATTTCGTTTTGTGTGTATGCACAAAAAAAAATTCAAATTTGCATCGTAATTTAAATTTCATTTTTTTTGAAACAATTTTTTCAAGGTCAAATGTTTTTTTTTTGTATATATAAGGAAATTAAATTCTTTCACATTCTACATCATTATTGATTATGATTGATATGATTGAATGAATGACCCATATGATGATGATGATGATGATTGATCCATTGATATTCGATATACACACACGCATTGTTTGGGTTTTCAAAGAATTCACAAACAACAACAACAGAAATTCAATTCAATTCAATTCAAAATGAAACATAATATTGGCGCCATCATTCATCGCCAAAAAAACGTGTATAATACACACACAATGAATGAATGAATGAATGAAATGTTGACACACACACACTGACCCACAATATGGTCAAAACATGATTCATTGATCATTTGATCATTGGCCAAAAATCATCAAATTTCTTTCTTACCCGTTTTTTTCTATTGTGTAAGAGAAATAAAAAAAAAAAAAACTTCCTTGTGCCCGGATTCAAACAAACAAAAAAAAAAATATTCTCGATTCGGTTTAATAACAGACAATAGAATTGAAGATTGATGAATTGAAAAAAATTCAATATAAAAAACTTTGAACCTTGAACAACTTTTTTTCTGTGATGAATTACGACGTGTGGAATAAATGTAAGAAAAAAAAATCGTGTACACATGATCCATGTATTCATTCATTTTATTATGAGTTTCAAGCAGCTGATTGATTGATTGATATATTGATGATAAAAATGAATATACCCGTATATAATACACTGTCTATCAAATTGATCATTTCCTCGTGATTCCGGTAATATGAAAGACAATCGAATCTAATCAAATGAAATTATTCACACATTTTATCAAGAGAAAAACACAAACAAACTGATTCTTTAATTATATAGTCTTTTTATCCTTCGAATTTCAAAGATTCATTCACATTGACAATTGAAGATGAATAAAGAATGATGGTTGCAATAGGAAATCTAATACTTAATTAACCACCTGTAATTATGAGAATTTGAGATTCAGATTATCTTGTTGTTGGTGGTGGTTAACTTATTAATATTTGAAACAAAAAAAAACCAAAAGAAAAGACAAAACAAGCAACCAGCCAACCAACCAATCAATCAGATATGAATTTGATTTTGAAAATGAACAACAACAACAACAAAAAACCAATATCAAACAGGAAAGCAAAAAAAAATTGAATACAAATATCATTTCCTTGATGATCACAATGATGATCATGATTATGGAATATATAACAATTGAATTGAATTTGTTTCAAACATGATTGATCCTGGAAAAATTGTGAACATATATATAGAGAGAGAGAGAGAGAATCCATTCGAGCAAATCGAAATTATTGCCCGAAAAAAAAAAAAAAAAAAAAATTAAACAGGAACAACAGAAAAAAAAAATTAGTTGTCTATATCTTGATCAATATTTTGTGGAGATAAACAAATTTAGATTTGGATTTAAAAGAATTTTAAAATTTGATAATGGATGCCACCATTGCCATCACCATCATCATTGTAAATACTTCCTGAAAATGACCATCAATCAATCAATCAATCAATGAAAATTGATGATGAACTGTGTGTGTGTGTATGTTTGCAATCTCAAATGGTTTTTGTTTGTTTACATCGTTTATATATCCAATATATACAATGAAATAGTTGTTGTATATATCAATCAATCAATCAATCAATTGAACAATTGACATTGAACCATTTGATATATTTGGATTGGATTAATCGTTTTTTTTTTAATATTCATAGTTAATCTTGATCCGTATCCGATTCGTATGATTGAATTTTTCGAATGAAATTTCATTGTCAAAAAAAAAAATGAAATGAAATGAACGAAATGATTTCCCATTTTGATGGACATTATTTCATTGCACTGATTTAATTTCGTTGCCACCGTTATTGTTGTTGTTGTTGTTGTCGTTGTTGGTTGTATTGATTTGCCACACACAATTCAATTGAATTTTTCAATTTATAACTGTTTTTCGTATGTGTAGAGTTTATTCACACACACACACAAATGCCACTATCTTCCTGTCTACCTCACCACCACCACCACCACCATTATCATCACCATAATGGCAGTCTTAGGAGAAAAAAAAACCCGATATCTTTTTTTTTTTTACAACTATCAGGAAAAAAAATATCAATTAAGGCGGTACACACACACCACTGTGTGTTATTATTAAGATGCATCAATTGCCCAATTGTTTGATCATCATCATCATCATCTATATATAAATAGATTTGTGGCTGGATATCATCATCATTTTTTTATTATTATCATCATCATCATCATTGCGTTTGTCGTTTTTGTTTATTTGAAATAAAGTTCAATCATCATCATCATAAAATGGAAAATTTCCACCACCACAACCACCGCCACAACAACAACAACAACGAAAAATGGATTGTGATTCCAAATCAATTAACCACACAGCAGAGAAGAAAAAAAATTTTTTTTGTCAATTTTTAAAATGAATTTAAATTGATTGTCAACATTGTTTGCGGATATCCTTTCTCTGTCAGTAAATTCGTTCATTCATTCATTCATTTTTTTCGTCAGAGTAGTAAAGGATGGTGTGATGAATGTGACAAACACCATTGTCCAGATAAATTATTATGTGATGATCAACATGGATTTAGATGAAGTTCAATGCTTCAAGGTTCAAGGTTCATCTTGTTATTATTTAACGTTATGTCATAATTGATTATTATATGTGATGTAATGTCACAGTTTATCGTTGACATTTTTTTGATTACAATTTTCATTTGTAATAATCGATCATCAATTATTGATTTAACTATTTGGCTGTGTGTGTGTGTGTGTGTGTTTTTTGTGTGTGCGTGTGTGTGTCGAATCTATCGATCTAATCAATCATCATGTTCTTCATCGATGAACACACAGGTAATGTTCACAAATTTGTTTATTTAAAAAATTTTTATATCCAGTGGGTGTAGTAGTAGTTGTGTGGTGTGGTGATTTTTTTGTACATGCGGTGGTAATTTTTTTTTGTACACATGATAATTTCAATTTTGTAAAAAAATTTTCAAAATTAATCCGATACATATCAATCATCATCATCATCATCATCATCGGTTATCCAAAATGACATTTCGTTGTTACCCAATTATGGTGCTATATATATGATGAATGTCTCCAAAAAAAAAAAAAAAATGTCACACACACACACACAAAAAAAAAAACAATCAAAAAAAAAAATCATACTTACGATTGATGACATGATTTCAATTTCATTAGTAGAACACACAGTGTATACTTACTCTCTAAATGAGAAAAAAAACAACATCGGATCTAAGGGCATTAAGTAGAAAAACGGATTGAATGAATGAATGGATGGATGATAATTAATTGGATCAACATGATTTCATTTTTCTGGTAGTCGTCGTTTGTTGTTGTTGTTGTTGTTGTTGTTGTTGTTCTAGTGATCGAATGAAAAAAAATCAGAAAAAAAATCTTCAATATGACGACATGATTGTTTGATATTTCAGACACACACACACATATCATATCTCATCAAGTAGATGTTTCACTTTAGAAAAAAAAATTTTTTTTGATAAATCACAAACGCCCCATTTGAAATTATATATTACACACAGATGAAATGATTGAGAATTGAGCGATATGTAACAAAAAAAAACCGCCAAAACACATTTATAACAATGAGCGTATCTATGTGATCCAATGATCCATTGATGATGATGATGATGATGATGATTATCCATAGCCATCATTTGATTTTTTTTTTTTTGTTTTCGGTTTTATTGAATGTCATAACAGGATGATAATAAAAATTTTTTTGTTTTGAAATTTTGAATTTAATTGCCAAATGATTGTGTTACCAAATCAACCGACCGACCATAAATATATATAATAATAATACGACGTAATGAAAAACCAGAAAATGTCATCATCATTAATGACCACAAAATGGTGTGATTTTTTTTTTGATTAAAAACGTAATTGTGATTGATTCAGGTAGATATGTGATGATTATTTTGATCTAATTTAAATCAAAAAACAAAAACAATAACAGAAAAGGAATCACCAATTTACTTCACATACCTTTATCAATTTTTTTTTGTCTTCAATCGATAAATTCATCTTTGTGTGTGACACACACAATCATCTGGTCATCTGGTCATCCATTGACCGAAATATTTGTCTATTGAATCGATCGATTGAATGATTGGTCCAATTTCCATCCATCCATCCTATTTATAGAATTTATTTTGTTTTGTTCTGTGATTCAATTGAAAAACAAACAAACAAACAAAAAATTGCTCGTCTTTTTTTTTCACCGTCATCATCATCGATATATTTATTTTTGTTTTGTTCATCCCACCCACCAATCAATAGTTCATCGATTAAACTCATTTTTTTCTGTCTGTCTGTCTGTCTGTCTTTCTCATATTCACATTGTATGAAAGATCAAAATTATTACATTATTATTATTGACATCAATTTTCAATTTTTTGTTTTTTTTCATATTTTTTTTCTTACTTTTGAAATAGATTAGATTGAATATCGTTTGTTTATTATTGACTTGTTGGAAATTTAATCATCGATATATATATATGATGGTGATGTGATCTTGTTGATTCGAATTTTTTTTTTCATAACAAAAAATTAGTAAACAAAATGGATCAACAACAATCATCATCAACAACAATTAAGAAGAAACAACGTTCAAAACAGCAACAACAACAACAGCAACCGGGTACATATGGCCAATATACATTACCGGCAAATACAACACGTATGATGATGATGATGAAGGTAGGTGTGGTGATTGTTATTTTTTTCAATTATTATTTTTTCTATTTATATCAAATTGATTGATTGATTTGATTTATTGATAAAATTATTACAATTCGAATGTTGATCACAAGATGGCGATAATTTTGTTTACATTGTTTATGAAAGAACATCTCATAAAAAAAATTGTGTGCGTGTTTTTTTACAATGGTTGTGTGTGTGTGTGTGTGTGCGAGTGAGTTTAGTGGGTGAGTAATTCGAAATAATTGTATTGTCTAAATGAGTTCGATTTTCATTCGATTTGTGTGTTTATTTTTAAAAGTTTGAAAATAATCAAATTTCATTCATATATGATTATTATTAAGAAAAAAAAGAACGAATCAAATTCCATATTCATATATTGTTTGTCTTGGATTTAAATTCTAACTTTTGCTGTGGTCATTTTTTTTATCGATCGAGAAAAGAAAAGGAATTTAGAGAAAAGAAGAAATAAATAAAACCAAAAGCAAATCAAATTAAAAAATGGATCGATCATCATTGCAATTGACTCAAAATCTTGTCACTTTTGTTGATCGTTATTCATATTCATATAAATATTATAATGATGATAATGATAAACCATCGATTGTTGTACGTCGTGGCCGATCCAATAAACAGCCATTAAAACAATTATCATCATCAATCAATAATTGTAACAACAAGAGCAATGAAAATTGCATCATTTGTTTTGATGAATTTATTCCAAATACAAATGTTAGGTATGTAATTTGTATAGTGAATGTGATTGTTGATGATGATGATGATGATAATTATTTCATTTCATTTTATATTTATGTGTTAAATATATGGAAAAAAAAGACGATTACCATGTATGCATTTATTTCATGAAAAATGCATCATACAATGGTTTGAAAATTCCGTATCAGTTAATTTTCTATTTTCCTGTCCTATTTGCCGTTTAACCATACATTGGCGTGATCAAATGAGTAAAAAATGGTCAATACCGGAACATTTGTTGGAATTGGAAAAACCTGGTACCATACAGCGAATAACAAATGATTCAAATAATGATGATGATACGGCCAATAATAATAATAATAATAATCGTAACATTAAACGACGTCGAAATAATCGAACAAATGTCAATCGAAATTTACGTAATGATACAGATTCTAATATGATAATAGTGGCAACTACTAGCACTACTACTACTAGTACTACTACTACTGTCTACCAATATGATGGTAAACTCATCACCGGTATCTTCACGAACTAGGCTACAATTACGATTACGTCGTCATCATCAATTATTGGCAAGAACCGTAAATTAATCATCATCAACAGCAGCAGTAGCAGTAGCTGTAACTTTTTCCGTTTTTCGATTTTAAAATCGTATTTAATCACCACCACCACCTAGCCACCCACCATCAATTGATCATTAACAAGAATTTTTCATTCTTTTTTCTTTCTATTCATTTTTCTAACATTGAAAAAATCTATCATTTGTTCAACTATATATCAAACACATACACACACACACACACACACACCGCTAATAAGCTAATCAAAATTCTAGTGATAATGATCTTTGAATCATTTTTTTTTTTGTTAATGTTTAATGTTTAATATCAAAGTCAAAGGAAAAGAGGGAAGGGGTGATGTTTGAAAAAAAAAAAATTTATAATGTATAATGCCATATTTCTGTTATTGTTTTTTTCCATTTTTATCATCATCATAAATAATAATAATAATATCTGTGTGATAATTGTAAAAATGAAAGAAAGAAAGAAAAAAATTCTGGAATTTTTTTTTTTCTCAAAAATTTTTCAATTTTGTCATTTTTTTTTCTATAGAAACAAAAAGTTTCGATTTGATTTTTGTTTCACTGTTTTTCATTTCATTTTGTGTATGTGTGTGTGTGTGTGTGTGTAATCTGAAATTTCCAATCTTGATATAAAAACATTCATTCTGTGTGTGTGTGTGTGTGTGTGTGTGTGTGTGTGTGTGTGAATGATCAACAATGTTGATAATGAACATAGCAACAACAAAAATTTTGAGGAAACGCTAAAATGATGAAAATATTTTCTTTTTCTCATTCGTTTTTTTTTTTTTGGTTATTTGAAAAATGTTTTGAACACACACACACACACACACGTTTTATGATAAACGCGATCAACAAGTGTGTATGTGTGTGTGTGTGTGTGTGTGTGGGTCCAGCTACTTGTTGATCAGTGTTGTTTTTAGTTTGGGTTTTTGTTTAGATAAATTTTAGTCATTTTTTTCTCTCTGGTATTCAAAGAAAAGAAAAGAAAAAAAAAGTTTTTGCTGTTTGTTTTTACATTTTTTTTTCTGTCAATTTGTTATTGTTGAAATGTGTGTAATGATTATATGTGTGCAGCTATAATTTTGTTTTGTTGCTTATCATCATCATTGGTCATATATTCGTGAACGGAAATCAATCAATCAAACTAAATATAATACCCCGCTTAACGCGGGGGTTACGTTCCAAAAATTCTGAGCGTTAAGCGAAACAGCGCTAAGCGGGGCTATCTTTACATAATGCATTTTTACCCTTCATATACAATGTAACAATGTAATGCAATGTAGGGTAATTGTACAGCGTTATATCGAATCAGCGCTAAACGGGGCAGCGTTAAGCGGGGTATTGCTGTACGACCATAATCGAGGAAATTAAAACATTGGTAACACGATGTTGGTGGTGGTGGTTAATCATCATCATCATTATTTCCAGTGTTTAATTATTATTACTCGTTGAAAATCATTTGTCTGGGTTAAAATGATGATGAAGTTTTTCTCTCTCTCTCTCTCTGTGTCCATTCACATTTATTTGATATTAATAAATTTGATTATCAATTATGATCATCATCATCATCATTAAATCATCATTAAAATGAATTGCCTAAAAACCTAGATTGAAAAAAAAACAATCGGGCAAACAACCTGTTCAAGTACCATATATAACGGAAGTATTTTTTTTTTTGTTATTGGTGGCGTTAAAGTGTTATCGTCGTCGTCGTCGAAAAAGGTCAGAGAAAAAAAAATATAGAAAAATCATCCAATGATCATCATCATCATCATCATATCCTTTATCTGTAGCTCATTTGTAAATATTTTTTTTTTTGTTTTATTTTGAAAAATAAAAATAATCCATATATGTAGTAGTAGTAGTAGTGGTGGTAGTGGTGGTGATTATGATATGATTATGATGATGATGATGATGATTATTTGTAATCAAAAAATATAACCACACCATTCATCAACATCAAATGGCAATAACCAGCATAGAATGAATATTTGTTTGTGCGTGTGTGACAAAGAAATAAAATCCAAACATTCACACACACAAACTGATGAAAATAAAAACTTTCACCCGAATCATGAAATTGAACTCTCTCTATATATACATGTTGTAATATATGAATCAAAACAACATTAAAATGTTTTGGTTATTGCACCAAAAAAAAAAACAAAACAAAACAGAAAAACATTTTCTGGTGTGTATATTTTGGGTGGAGGGTATTAGCTGTTGTTGTTGTTGTTGTTGTTGTTGTTTAGTTTGGCCCTGGCCAAAGATTTCTAAGCTAGATAAAATGGTGGTGATCATGTTGATGATGATGATGACGATTTTCACGTTGGATGACGATGACAAAAAAATTTTTTTTTTTCAATTTTACGCCAAGTTTTTTTTGATGATATGTGGTGGAAACAAAAATTCCATATTCATCATCATCATCATCATATACCAACCACCACCAATTTGTCTGAATTTTTGTCATTCATTTTGTTCTGTTTTCCTGATCAAAATCGTTGAACAAAACAAAACAAAACAAAAAAACGTTGATTTTGAATATCATATTGAAATGAACCGAATCGACGAAAAATAAAACAAAAAAAAAATGCCGCGATAATTTACATTTGTTGGAAATAAATATTGTGTGTTTGTGTGAGAAAGAGAAATATATGCCGAAATATTCAAAACATTTCAATATGTGTTTTTTTTTGTTTTTGTTGGTTATTTAAACATGTGGAATTTTCATTTCAACGTTTTTTCAATCAACAGCACATATTTTGTATATACGTATATCCGTTGCTCGTTATGTGAATTGATCATGATTCATTCATTTTTGTGTCCAGGCCATTTCATTGATTTGGATTGATTAAAATTCAAAAGAAAAATGATTAAGAACATCCGATCATTTGAATTAATATACACACACACACACACAGAGAGTGAGAAAAAGAGATTTGAGAAAAAGCCAACAAAAAAAATGAATAACTTGGGCATTAGTCATATATATGTGGCTCTGTATGATGTGTATCTGTAATCTAACTGTTTTGTAGTCATTTTTTTTTTTGTTTGTATGAATGTGTGTGTGTGTGTGTGTGTGCGTGGGTGGATGATGAGAATCCTGGTATTTGTATTTATATTCTACTATTGCCATCATTACTACTACCACTAATAATAATAATTGCTAGGAACACATAATATCATTTTTGTATTCAAAAATGGATGGAAAATAAAATAAAAAATGATGATGAATTCGACCGACACGCGTCACCAAAAACAGAAAACAGAAAGAAAATCCCGTTAATTTTTTTCGATTAAAAAAATAGTTTAGTTTCAATGATTGGTGGTGCGTTACACACTTTCTGTGTTCATCATCATTTGTTTATTTCATTATTCAATGTGCTGAACTTTTTCACATTTATTGATTATTCGGTCATTCCACTTTATTCAATCATTCATTCATTCATCGATTGTAATAAATTTTTTTTTTGCCCTGTTGATTTGTTTTCAGACTGGTCAATCACCATCCGTTATATTGAATCCATATCATCTTGTATTGACACCAACATTAGAATCACAGCATTTAAAAACATTATCATTACCACGTCAAAATTCTGTACAGATTCAACAAAATAATCCTACAAAAGTAACAACATCAAAAACAGTGAAAAGACATTCAAAATCATTTATTAACACTGTTGTTGATGAAATACCAGTGGTCAATCCAGCATTCAATGATGGTACAATTATGCCAACAGCCATTTCTGATTATGATGATCCATTACGTTTACATCATTTACCACAACAGAATCCACATCCAGATTTAGTGGAAATACGTACAAATCAAAAACATTCACCATCAACAACAACAACAACAACACGTCCATTGAATGTAGCTAATGATAATGATAATAATCAATTATTATCGCAAACAATAATAACCAATAATCGTAGCATTCCATCATTTCATTTGACAAAAAATGTTCATTCAACATTATCAAAATTAAGTGATCCAATTGAATTTTGTCATTTATCATCAACAACAACAACAACAACATCATCATCAGCTGAAACAAAATCGAATATGAATATCACATCAAATGAACCACAGCAGCAGCAACAATCAATAGGAATGTCATCATTTCAACGACGACAACAACAACAACAACAAAATCCTAATTCAAATCATCCATTACCACCAACTATACAAACAATGCAAACAATACAAATGAATCCAAGATTTAGTACATCATCATCAATTAGTAATCAATCATCTGATATATCCGGTGATCCATCAACAACATCTAGTCTTTTCTATGTTGATTATCGTCCATCATCATCATCAATGATAAATACCAATGAACAACAACAACAACAACAGCAACATAGAAATTCATCTGTATCCGAACTATCATCAAATAGTTCAACAATTACAGATGGTAGTAGTGGTGGTGATAATCATGAAATAGATGATGATTTACCACCACCACCGGATATATTATTATGTGATGATGATATTGATAGTGGTGGTGATCAACAACAACAACAACAACAACAACAACAATTAACACCTACAAATAAAATAGCTGAACTATTACCACCATTACCACCGGATTATCATTCAATATCAACATTACAAAGACGTAAATATCAACAACCACCAATAACAACGCAACAATTTACCATTACAAATACATTGAATCGTTCAAAGCCTTCGGCAAATATTAATAGTGTCGGTGGTTATACATCATCTACAATCAATGATGTACCAGCTTATTCAACAACAACATTAAGTTCATTTAGTACTTTACCACAAAAACAACAACAATTATCATCATCAACGCCAGGATCACATTCTGGTACATTATTGAGGAAACCACCACCACCACCGCCACCACCAAGGCCACGTTTACCACAATCGATCTCATCGGATACAACATCATTACAGACATCATTATCATCATCAGCTAATTCAGATTCATATGTTGATCCACAAACATTATCCATTTCTGATTCAATATCAACACCAATAATGGATAATTTAACACCATCACCAATATCTGAACAAAATCATCATTATCAAAATCCAAATTCATCACAACAACAACAACAACAACAGCAGCAACAATTGGGTATAAATCAAACAAAAAAATTATTTAATCGTCGTGCACAATCACCAACATATGGTTGGGTTTATCATCAAACTGGTGGTGCTGATGCTGCTGCTGCTGTTGGTGATGAACATTCCGAATCATCAAACATTATGAATATAAATACATTCGATATAAAACGTTTAGATTCATTAAGTTTGACAGAAAATCGTTCAGAAATTTCAAATGGAACAACAAATGGACCAAATAGTCTGGATTCTGGTGATTCACATCAACCATTAAGTCATTCATTTGATCGTAATAATAATAAAAATAAAATGAATTTAAAGAAAAAAGATAAAAAAAATCAACATCAACATCAACAACGGCAATCAAATCATAAATCATCATATGTATATCGTAATCAAGTATTTGTTGGTGAAATTGATTGTGAATCGAATGGAAAAAATCGAAATAACGATGGTGATGATGATGATGATGATGATGGTAATGCTGATCGAACAAAAGCACGTATTCTTAAACAACCATATAGAATGTTTTTTGATGATATGACACCTGATGAAATGATGCAACAGATGGATCGTCGTCATCGTGGTGGTGGTGGCGGTGATAATCATATGAATGGAACAATTCAGAATGAAAATGATAAAAAGAAAAAATTTCAGAATAATAATTTGATTACAATTAAATCTAGAAATGAAAATTATTTGAAAAGTTGTTGTCGTTCGGCTATTATTATAATGACCATTATGATATTGATTCTTGTATCGATTATATTGGCAATTACATTCTATAATCAATTTGTATTACATAAACCAGAAACTGGATTCAATGCAATTGGCCAGATGGAAACATTTTTTGAATCAATAACAAATTCTAATCATAGTAAAAATGATAGCCAATCTAGTCGAAAAAATGTGACAACAACAACAACAACAATGAATAAACAAGAATCAACACCATCATTATTATCGACATTATCAACAACTGTAGGAATATTGATAAATACATGGAATATTTCGAGTAAAAATTCACCTATAAATAATGTTATTAATACGACACCATCGATGATTGACATTCCAACAACAACAACACAACACTGAAAATTGATCCAGAAAAAATTGTGACTAAAATTACGACAACAACAACAGCCATTCCCTCAACAACAACAACAACAACAACAACAACAACACCAATGACGACAACGTCGATGACTACGTTAACTACCGTTGTTCCGGCGGAAATAGCAACAACCACAACAACAAAGATACAGGATTCGGATACGAAAATTATTATCAAACCAACGACAATATCACCAATAATAGAAACAACGACAACAACAGCATCAACAACAATTACAGATAAATCATCAACGGAAATGACTATAAAAAATCAAACGGAAACAACAACTATACAGGCAATTATTATGGATGATAGTTTTGTAATGCCAATTAATTCCACATCGATCAATGATCAGTCATCAATAACGACGACAGTATCACCATTGCCAAATATATTTTCAGGAACAGTCATTAATTTAGATACGACAACAAAAAAATATAGAACAAAATTGACCACAGAACCACCAGAAGCTACAATTGTTTACGATTTGGATGGTTTTGAAGTTTATATTAGCAATAAAACTCTAAAAGAAATTGAGAATCAAAATAAAAATAAAAATAAAAATGATATGGATACAGAATCTAGTGATTTAGTAACGGAATTATCATCAGATATTATTGATGTTGTTGATGATGATGATGATGATAAATCAATGCAACAACAACAACAACAACAACAACTTTATCAGAAAAATGAAATCGATGATGATTGATCATTGAATGCCTAAAATGTAAATATAATTGCTACTGATGTATTTTCATTGTTTTAAATTTTCTCTTTTTTTTCTGTTCTATAGATGTGATCCTTAGCTGTTATTCATTTTTTTGACAAATAAAAAAAAAGCTCAACTTTACCCTTAAAAAAAACATTTAAACATATTACTTGATTGATCTTCCAATTTTCCATCAATTTTGATTTGACAAATTTTGTGATTTCCACATACATACATACATACATACTATATATGCTGATTTTTATATTTGCATTTTTTTTTTATTTTATTTTATTTAATATTTATTTAAATGTTTGCAAAAAAAAATTACAACATGATATGTTGATGTAATTCTTGTTGTAAAATTCATAAAAATTTTCAATGAATAAATAAAAGTTTTAAATATTTTCAAAATTTTGTAATCTGTTTTGCCGGCACCAGATGGCGATTGGTATCGTTAGAATAAAAAAAAACCAACAAAACTCGATTCATGATAAGAATTTTTTTTTTTTTTTTTTTTTTGATATTTGAAGTTCAATAAACAGAATCAACCAATGACAACGGAATTGAAAATTGGAATAATTGACAGATTGTGTAATGAAACGAAATGTGTATAAGAATTCATTATTTATCCATTTATAAATTTTTAGTGTTTGATAAATCTGATTCTTTAAAAAATTGAAATGAATTTCATTTTACAATTGGAATTCTTTTATTTATTTATTTTTTTTGACATATGTGCACTTGCCAATACATCCATTCAAATTAAAATGAATCTCTTTTTGTTTTGTTTTGTTTTTTTTTGGCTATGAATCAGTAAAAAAAAAGAAAAATTGAAACAAAAAAAAACAAACATCCTCCCACATTAATGTTCATCAATCATTTGATTTTTGTAAGTTTTTTTCTACTACTACTACTACAACTACTATTTTGTTTTTCTTTTCTTCATTCAATTCATTTCTGGCCATTTAATTTCTATATTTTTCTCATGTTTATTTCAATAGCAATTGTATGATCAATGTAGAATAAATGGACAATATATACACACACACACACCCACATACGATGATGATGATGATGGATGACCAATTGAATTGGTTGCTTTTAATGCTTGATTACAAACAAAGAAGAAGAAGAAGAAGAAGAAGAACAGAAAAAAGTTTTTAAAAACATTGTTTTGTCTCACCATTTATCTCATCATTTCATGATGGTATTTTCCAGTGAATCAAATAATTTTATTCCATTTCCAGGTGTGTGTGTGTGTGTGCAATATAAATTGTGAAATTTCAATCTCAACTCACAAACTCATTCGCAAAAATGATCAGTTATAACTGTTAATTGTCACAAAAAAAAGTTTGTATCGTCATTCATCATTCATTCTATTAATAGACTTGTTTACTTTTTTTTTTTTTTTTTTTGCTCATATAGAAAATTGTTTTTCAATCATCTGTCATCAATCGTAAATGATCGTGATGACCAAACGACCGATGCTTGATGATGATGATGACCAAATCATTTATGATTCTTCTCAATTTGTTGAAATGGAATATGTCAACAATCATTATTTCTTTAATGATTATATTAGTGTGACAATTAATGACATTCTGTTTTGTTTTTTTTTTATTTGTTTTATCATAGATGATAATTTGCCATTTCCCAAGTGAAATCATCATGAAACGGAATAAATAAACACTATGTATATAATGAATGGATGATATGGTTCTTTTGATTCTTGAATTCCATTTATAAATTTCCAAGTTCGATTCAATTCAACCACCACCACCACCACCACCACCACCACCACCAATGAACAACCACTACCTTCATATTTGACTTTTAAACAGCGACAACAATAAGGGAGGAATTCTTTACAAAGAAATTTTACAATCTTCATTTTTCAAAAAGAAATTCCTTTCATCCAATTCATCGTCATCATCATCATCATCACCATAAAATGTCGATCGACAAGAATCTTTTTTTTCTTCTTCTTTCCGTTTTCGATCAATCATACTGAGAAAAAAAAATAGAATCAATAATATCTCTTGGTGTGAGTAAAAAGGCCTTGCATATATTTTTTTTCAATAATAATAATAATAATAACTATATATATCGTTCATAGAAAACTGATGATGATGACGATGACCATCACGGAAGCCATATGTATACGGATCAACATAAGAATTCAAAATATATAAAGAAGTAAAAAAAAATGAATCAACCGAATAAAAGTTTCAGAATCACAAGACGGGGAAAAAAATCGGAAAATGAAATGTTTTCAATGATGATGATGATGATGGAATGAAAATAGACCAGATTCCCTCATGGCCAAATCATATATACAACAACAACAAAAACATCAAAACAATAACCGAAAATGATGTCTATCACAATGATGATTATGATCAAGATCAAGATGGAAAAAAATAGCAAAACAAAAAAAAAAACAAATCTTATACATGTATTATAATATAACCATAGACCAGACCAGACCAGACACCACCACTTTTCATAAATCCGAATTCATAAAGAGAATATAAGAAATGTAGTTCATGATCCAGAATCGTTCATCTCTCTTTATATACAGCAAAAGCATCATCATCATCATCATCTAATATAATATATAAAGATGAACAAAAAAAAAAACAACAACAACAACAACAACATCACTTGTTTGTACAGTTTGTTTTTTTTCTTTTTTCATCCATTTTACATTTTATTATTATCATCAAACCAACCGAAACCATCGAAGAAGAAAGTATCATCATCATCATCATCATCATCATCGTTCTTTTTATTTATTTCTTGAATGTTTTCATTTCTTCTTATGAATCTTTAAGATGAAGAAAAAAAAACAGAATTCATTCAGTCAGTCAGTCAGTCAACCATCCATTCATCCATCCATCTATAGGGCCTAGATTCTAGGCCCATTTCATTGTTGTGCTTTATATGAATTCATCTCATTCAGTGCATTCACTCAATTTTTCTTCTTTTTTTTCGTCAACATGTGAATAAACACAACAACAATCATAACTAAAGTCAAAAAAACTGGAATCTCATTGAATCTCGTTCGTTTTAATATTCAATTCAATCGTTAAAGTCAAAACAAAATGATGATGATGATGATGATGATGATGAAAAAAAAAAAAAAAGTTTTCAAATGTCAAAACTCTTCATAAATTGCTGCTGTATTATTCGTAGTGATGGTGGAATCATCATCACCACCATCAACATTTTGTCTCCATCTCTCTTCTATTGTGGTTCCGGCATTTTTTTTTTATTTCCCTATGTAAATCGGTTATTACGACCGCCGTTGCAATATATCGAATATATAATGGATGATGACATTGAATCAAATCATTCGATTATATATATGATGATGATGATCTTTGATGTTTATAATCGAAAAAAATGGAATTTTTTTTTGTCGTTTTGGAATTAAATTCTTGAACACAACATTTGCCCATCCTTACCACCATTACCGTTGCCATAAACATATACACACAGAACAGAAGTGCTGATTTTTATTTTTCGTTTCGCAAATCCTTCCACTCCCCCGTAATATATAATCACCATCACCACCAATACCAACACCAACACCAATAGAAATGGATCATGATGATGATGTGGAAAAAATCAACCGTGCAGAACCGATGAAAAGTGAATCACATGTGAAATATATCCGCCCATACAATGGATTTTTGAATCGGTTTTTGTTTTGTTTCTGTAAAAGCCAAATGATTTGACCCCGGAACCATAAATGCTGACATTTATAGAAAAAAATGGAGGAATTTAACATTAAATAATTGTGAAAGAAAATTCTCAAAGGAGATATAAATCTACACCGAATGATTCATTGCCCATCAAAAACAATGTATCGATTTTTTCTCGTATTCGAAAAAAAAGAAGAAAAGAAAAGAATCGAAAATCCTTAACTGGTTACTGGTTGATGGGTGGAGAGACACGAGAGGTCAAAGTTTGTGAAATGAAACAAAAAAAAAACATTTGACATTTTGAATCATTTTTCATTTTGTGCGTGGTGGTGATGGTACGATGGTGGTGGGAGCAAAATGAAAAATTGTTTTGTTTCATTAAACTACAACCCGATTCCGTCACCACCCCCCATCGAATTGAATTCATTTCAACAATGAAAAAAAAGTGAGTTTTTATTTTTTTTTTTTTTTTTTGTTGAAAATTTACTTCAATTCAATTCTAATCTATTTTTTTCGTTATTGTCGTCGTCATCGTCGTCGTAAAGCCATTGGGACAATAGTTTAATAGTACAAGGCTTAAAACATTGATTTGATGGTTATACGGACACACACACAATAATGTGATTTGTTGAAAAGTCGTTAAAAAATCATTATTTCTATCACAGCTACCAAATGATGATGATGATGATGATGAAATTCTGGAACACACAACCTTTTATGAAAACATCGAATGTCGATGATGAACACATCACACAGACATAGACAATCGTTGTCGTTTATTGTTGGTTATTGTTCATCATCAATAGTATGGTATGGTATGGTGGTTGTGTATCGATTTCGATAGATTGGTAGTATATGCAAATAAGATTTATATATGTGATGAAAAAATGAAATTGATACAATTCTACGTGGTTGTGTTTGACTTTTGAAATTTTTTTTCTCAACTCCCCCCCCCCACACACAAAAAAAGAATTCAACCAAATTCAAACAAACACAAAATAACTACGAATTGATTCAACCATAAAGAAAGTTTCTGTGGCAGTAAATGAAAAAAAAAGTGAAATTATTTCTACCAAACACACACACACAAATACCGAAACTTTGAAAATTCTCTCTTTCTGTGAACCGTTTGCTTTTCCTTCATCATCATCATCATCATCATTTTTACTGTACACATCAATCCTGGTCAGTTTTTTTTTGTTGTCTGTTGAACAAAATTGTATTGAAAAAGTTTTTTTTGTTTCTACTTAGTTTCGATGATGAACAAGAAAAAAAAACGTTTTTTCTGTGTTGTTTTTTATCATCATCATCATCATCATCGTCATCAACTTTGTCGTCGTTTTATTTGTTTCATTTTGATTACGTTATTTGTTGCTTTATTTATTTGGTACCAAAAAAAAATGATGATGAACAATGACAATAATTTAGTTTCCGGATTCGGATAAAGAATTTCTGTTTTTTTTGTTTGTCGTTGATTGTAGTGAAAACTTTTAAGAATTGAAAGACCAAAGATAACAAAAAAAAACTTGATTGATAAAATATTTTGGAGAAAATTTGATTTCATTTTGCAACATACCAACCAACTAACTGACCAACCGACCGACTGACCGACCAACCAACAACAAATATCAACATGGAGTGAATGAAAAAAAAAAGTTTTTTTTTCATTGTATTTTTTTCTTCCATTACAACAAACAAATATGGTCGTAAGTTGTAAAGCCGGAAATTCATCAATATTTTCTTGTGTGTGTTCAGATGTTGTTGTTGTTGTTGTTGTTGCCGTTTTATTGTGTTTGGTCTCCGGTGACCAACAAAAAAAAACAACAACAACAACAAAAACAACGAGAGTGAAAAATTTCATCAAAATGATGAACAAACAAGAGGAATATTCTTGTTTTGGTTTTATGATACATTCACTATCGCTATATCTATATGGATTATTCCATGGAAATTTAAAACTTTTTTTTTGGATTTGATATTGTAGTTGTTGTTGTTGTTGTTGTTTTATTATTTGATTGTTTATGTTTACTATCGTTTGTTGTTGTTGTTGTTGTTGTTGACTTTTTTGTTTTATTTCTTATTTTATTCTTTCTCTATCTCTTTCGTAGACAATCAATGTGCACAATTAAATCGCAAAAAAAATGGCAACAACAATCCAATTTTGTTTTTGGCTTCAAACAAATCTCTCTGGATCAACTCAATCAAAACCAAAACAACCGAACAACCAAACATTTTTGAAGTGAATTTTACAGAAATTGTTTCCAAGAATCCCCCATGAAAAAAAAATTCTAGTCTGAATAAATTTTTTCGTTCGCCAAAAAAAAATTCGTTGGAAAATGTCAAAAACAAGACAAACAAACAAAAAAACCAAAGAATTTGAGAATCGAATTAAAATTTTGGGAACAACAACAAAAAAAACTATCTCCCCACTATAGTTTTTTCAGTTTCACCATTTGATTGATTATGGGTCTTATTTTTCATTTCCACTTGAATAACATTTTCAACATTTTGAATGGAAAATTTGTTCAAATCAAATTTTGATTCACATCCATCCACACACACACACACACACATAACATCCATGAAAAATTTGCTTTCTAGAATGATAACCATTCAGTTTGTTGTTGTTGTTGTCGTTGTTGTTGTTGTTTGTTGTTGTTGTTCATTGTCAGATAATAATTATTAGCTAAAAACGATTCCAACAACTAACCAAAACAAAAAAAAAATTTCAGAAACACTTAAAACAATTCAAGTCAAGAAAATTTTCATTTCTTATCGCAATATCCAATGTTTGGTATTTGGTCCCATTGCGATACAATAATTGCAGTATTTGTGTGTGTGTGTGTGTGTGTGTATGTGGAACAAAAACATTTCAAACAATTGAATCGATTTTCTGCAGAATTTTTTTTTTCATTTTTATTTTCATTTTACACAATTGCACACATTTACCCTTTTTTTCCAGCCATCATCATCATCATTGGAAATCAAGAAAATGATCCAAAATTTCATCAAGTAGTGTATATATATATTGGAAAAAAAACAGTGGAAAATATTTAATCGATTGGAAATTGTTCAATTTATGCCTTTCTATTGCTTATTCTTGATCGTTTAGTGAAATTGGAATTATTATGGAATATAATATTTCTGGCTATAATATTTTTGGCAATCCAGAAAACTTTTCGGACAATCAAAAAAAAAAAAAAAAAAATTTTTTTTTTGTATCGACCACCACCACCATCATCATCATCAAAAAACGAGAGAGAGAGGAGAAAAAAACTTTTTGCAGCTGTGTGTGTGTGTGTGTGTGTGATCCAAAGTTCTGGATCGAATCAAATATACACACATGCACTTACATAAATGTCAGTTGCAGCCAAAAAAAAATTTGGAAAAGAATAACGAAATGAAAAGTTTAAATTAAAAATGACAGGTCTAGGTTCAACCTTATCATGGATTTCTCTCAGTGTTCCGGTAACGGCAAAGTCAATATAATTTACATTATAGACTTCTGTGTGTGTGTGTTAATCAACCGGAACATCATTTATAAATCATCATCACCACCACCACTACCACCAACATTACAATTACCATTAATAATCATCGATAGCAGTACTCAATCGAATCGGTTCTAATCATCATTTTTTTTTAAAGAAATTATGACCAATGGACAATATGCTGCTATTTGATTTGCAATCAATTTGTATTGACAACATTTCTTTATTTTGTTTTTTTTGTCGATGATTGAATCGAAGAAAAACAAACAAACAAACAGTTGGAAAAAAAAAGATTTGTGAAAGAAAACATTTCACAGTCATTTCATTGCTTGAACTTTAATAATAACGATGATGATGATGATTTCAAAGTTTAAAAATTGAATTTTCATCATCATCATCATCAATGATTATGATTATTATCCATTCGAATAATGGATCCA